TGTTCAGGACCTGAAAACTAAGCTGCTTTCAGTGGCAAAGTGGCAGACAGGTTTTCGATTTCCATCATTGTCACAATTCAGCATGAGAGTTCATGACCTCTGGAATGCACTTTTGCAGGAAAATTTTGTTTTCAGCTTCAGAAATACATTGGAAATTATGGTGTATAGCAGCTTGGAAGAGAAGTGTGCTCATTGGTCATGGGAGTTAAGGAAATGTTCTTTGGAAACACAGACCAAGTTTAAAAACCAAGTTGGAAGCAACAAAATTTTGGATGTCAGTATCACAGATCTGATTTCTGACTTTGATGAAGTTTATTCTTCATTAAAAAGGGAGGTTGAGGCACATTTCAAAGAAGACAAACATGCTGAGATCCTTATTAAATGGAAAGGGAATGTTGAAAACCGACTTGAGAGCCTTAAGAATGAGCTCATTGAAGAAACCCAAAAACAATGCAAAATATTAATTGAAATTAAGAGAAGTATGTCAGAATTAGAGCAGAAAAAATCACATTATGAAAAAAACCTGATGCAAAAAAGCAAAACCATGGCAACTTCTCTGAAGGACAAGAGGTTCACTGATGAACAAGTGGAGGAAGCATTCAGTTCACTCTGGGTTGAGTGGGTAGCTGAAATAGCAGAAGATCAGCCGCCTGATGAGCCAGTCAACATAAAAGCTATAGTGGAGAGGATTCTGTACTCTCGCTTCCAAAAACAGGCAGACATCATGAACAAGATTAAAACAATATCTGAAAGTAGAATGTTTGAATTTACAAAGAAAAAGCATATCAGCCACACGGTCATCGAGGCAGGATTGGAATGGATTAAAGAAACATTTGGAAAGGGGATTCTCCAGGAGTTTGCTGAAAAACTCCACCGAAATGTGAAACACATGGTTGATGAATATATTATGAAAAAAGAATCAGAAAAGACAGACTTTAATAAGAATTTCATTTTTGAAATACTAGATGAGGTTGAAAGTCATATTCATGATTATGAGCACAAAGAAAATATGAAATTCACATATGAATACAGAGTTGACTTGTCACTTCTTGTTTGCTTCAGTTCTGTCCAGAGGTTTCAAAAAATGCACGAGTCATTCAAGAAAGCTAACAACCCGGTAACCTACCTGCAAAGTAAAAGGGAACAGTACTTCCAGATGTTCCAAAACTATTGCAAAGGAGCCAACTCAGTGAGAATTTTTTCTGAATTTTTATTCAAAAACATTCTGCCTGCAGTTGAAGAGGCAACATACAATAAAACTAAGGTGCAAATCGCTGATAATATTAAATGCAACAACCCAGCATTCAATGGCAACAGATGCAACCTTGAAAATCATATACTGAGACATCTTGCTGATCAAGAGGAATTTAAGTCATATACAGAATACATTGATAACCCAAAGTTGTATTTTAAAAATTTTATTGGAGAACATGTGGAAACATTTTGCAAAGACTACAAAAAACTGCAGGTGATGCTTCGTGAAAACCTAAAAGAAATGAAACTGCACATTTTACGCACCAGCAAAGAGGTATCTGAGGAAGTGAACCTGAAGAACGGCAATGCATCCATGTGGCTCGATCATTTCTGTACAAAACTTGGAGACCACATGGTCATAAACAGGCAGAGTCTGACAAGCATTCAGGAGGAAGACATTAGTGATACAAAGTTTCTGAAAGACATGTTGGCCAAGTATCTTGAAGAGGTGGTTAAAAGTGAAAATGTGAAAAGTGTTGATACATCTTCTCAGCATTTATGCCTCTTAAAGGATAAAATAACAGAGATTCTTTTTAATCAGCTTGAAGGATGTTGGGCTCAGTGCCCTTTCTGCAAGGCCATCTGCACAAATACTATAGTTAACCACAGTTGTGACCACAGGGTTCAGTTTCACTGGTCCAGTGCTATAGGTCACGTTCATTATTACAAAACAGATGAATTTACAATTGATTTCTGCACAACCAATGTAAGCAGTGATGGTTCATTCATAATCCTTCCATATAAAAAAAGGTTCCCCTATAAGTCCTACAGACGTGGTGGTGACCCTTATGATAAGTGGAGCATCACCGCAGATGGGAGCACACAGGGTTACTGGAAATGGTTTGTTTGCAGGTTTCAGAAGGAGTGGGAGGATAGATGTGGATTAAAATTTAAAGGCAAAGGTGTGATTCCTGACAGCTGGAGAAAAATCACAAAGGAATCAGTGCTGGAGGAATTAAACATAAGAGACTAAAACTACTGCAATGATGCATATGCAAGATAAATCTCACAATGAAACATGTAGTGTTTTAGTTATAGACATTGTGTACCTGTACATGTGCAAATGGCAAACAAAGAATTTATCATTATCATTTATCATGGGGTAAAAAAGTGTAAATATTCAATCTTTTAACAAAGTCCCCGGTGTTGTAGGGGTTCAGGTCCCACAGTTCTGTTTGTATTCTATCATCATTATTATGTTTCTTTTTTCTTATTCTAATTTTCTTTATTATTCTTGTTTTAAAATGTCTCTTTAGCATTTTGTAAACCCAGTGGTTAAATCAGTGCTATATAAATGAAGGTTGATTGAAAATACACAGCCTATGGATGTTAGCAAAGCATGTATGACCTTTCTTTGATTTAATGTTAATTCTTGACATTAGGTTCTGATTAAAAAAAATATAAATATCTTTAGATCTAATTATCATTAAATATCTGAATGTAGCTATTAGGGGAAAGAAAGTGGTTTAGATGACTGAGCACAGTTCTATACAGTAGAACCTTGGAACTAGAACTGGAACTCGGACAACAAAGGGGTCGGTTAATTTTTTTCAACTTGTACCTCAACTGAAATCTCGGAACTCAAAAATTTGTATGAGTCAAGATGTGTTCAACTCTACCAGTTTGAACCTTGAATGGGTTGGCAAAAAAACACCTAGCCGCAAGTCGACTGAAAACAGGACAAAACGAAACAGATACACTACAACTAGTATGGATCTCTGATGGGCAAAATAAAGGCAGACGGACCATCATTTGGAGGTCTGGAACAGATTAGGTTAATTTTCATTATTTCTTATGGGGAAAATTTTACTTGGACCTCAACCAAATCGGAACTCGACCAGCCTTCTGGAATAAATTGCGTTTTTGTTCCAAGGTACCACTGTAGTTGCAAGTTGTATTAATATTGCTGTTATGGAAAACTCTGTAGTCTAATAAAAGTGTTTGTCTTGCCCATGCCCTGTGTAATATGGTTCTCTATCAAGGCTGTAATTTTCAAGGGGAGTAATTTTCTTGAATATTTCCATATATTCAGTACTGATATATACACAATCAGCTTTCAGAGAAAACCACCATTTCAAGAAAGATCGTTCTCTTAGTCATTTTTTGTACACTCACCTAAAGGATTATTAGGAACACCTGTTCAATTTCTCATTAATGCAATTATCTAATCAACCAATCACATGGCAGTTGCTTCAATGCA